GATTGATAAAAATTTTGTTATTACTTTAGAACATAGTAGACAAATATAGAGAACAAGCACGTTTTCATGAATTTTTGAAAAATCTTCAGTTTCCAGTACTTCCATACACTGTACTTTGTGGTACCGTTGATAATATTAATGAGATTTATGTAGTGATCAACAGGGAAAAATTTATACAAAAAAACATAGTGGAAGCCGTAGAATTTACATACAAGTGTTTAACAGCACTATAAACTTGGCCAACATTGTGCGACTACGTGTATTCTTTTATCCAAACAGCCATATTTAAGATCGAAAAGCCTTTAAAAGTTTTGCAGCTGTAATAACTTTAAAATCTAACATCAAGTAGCTGTAAAATCAAAATTATTATTTTAATACCAAACAAGTACAAACACTTTCTTTGTAAGTAAGTTGTCATTAGCGCCAGTCATTTTGTAATAAATATTATACAAGATGAGGAATAAGGAACTTATTTTGCAATACATAATCACATTTATTCTTGAATTATATGGCGATTCTAATTACCCCAGAAAACTCGTGCAACAGGTGATTGAACAAATTGATGGTTTTATCAGAAAGATTTTTTTGCCCTCCATTAGTTTAGCGGTTATCGATTTTTTAAAAAAGCACAATGTGCAAATAAATATATTAGAAGAAATAACGACATGTATGGCACGTCACGAAAATGTTTTCGATGATGTATGTACTGAACAAAAACGATTTAAACTTTTAAAAAGTTATGGCTTGTTAGACGTCGAATTATTGACCATCGGGAAAACATTTAAAGAAACGTGCATTGATAATTGCACAAAATATATACAACAAAATTTACAAGCAGTTCAGTTAGGTTTTTCAGAGCCTTTTAAATCAAAATCATTTTGTCGCATTTGTAAAGCTACGTCTGAGGAAGCTGCCAAGCTAACGTTTGAGGATGAGACAAAATTACGAAATAACACTAATTATCAAAAAGACCTAAAAACAAATAATTCATCTGAAACTGGAGTTAAAGAAAGATGTGTATTTCATGACGTTATTAACTAACATTTTCGAGAATTTGAGCATTGATATGATGCATGATTTTTTGGAGGGGGTTTGTAAGTATGTTCTTAAAGCAATTTTTTTCAAACATGTATTTGAACAAAAAATTTACTCATTAGACACATTAAATACAAAAATTCAAACGATTAATTTTGGCAATAGTACTAACAAGCCCCCACCTATAACCGTCAATAGACTAAAAGGAAAATTAAACTTAAAAATGTCATCAGCCGAGATGCTTAATTTTGTGCCTTAATTCTAGGGTTAATTTTAGGTGAAATAGTTCCCGAAGATAATGAGTATTGGGAGATGTACAAAGTTCTTCGTAAAATTACTGATATTCTTCATTCTCCACGAATCGTTTTATCCGACTGCTCAGCCTTAAAGGAACTGATAACAGAATTAAACAGTAAATACATTGCTCTTATTGGGCCTCTTAAGCCAAAGTTTCATATACTTACCCATTATCCACGCATTTTAGAAGAACTTGGCCCTTGTATACATTACTGGACAATGAGACTTCAATCGTACAATCGAAGAATTAAAGCTAATGCTTGTTCTACAAGTGGAAGTAAAAATGTATTAGTTACTGTCGCCAGAAAACAAATACTTAAAATGTGCCAAATTTTTAATAACGTTCAATGTAACAATGTTAAAAATTTTGGTCCTGTTGATAAATCTGTGCCAAAAATACCAATTAGAACTCAGTTAAAAGATTTTGTAAGTCAATCAGTAGCATACAAGTATATTGATGTAAATGGTATCAAATATATAACATGAGACATTATTGTATTAGACATGTTGCGTAGTGAAAAAGAATTTGGTACCATCATGAATATTTTCGTATACTGCGACAATGTTTACTTTTTTGTAGAAACTTATGAAGAAGTTACATTTTGTGAACATTTTCATGCCTTTTTAATTTACAAAAAAAAATAACTATCGGTTAATTAAACAGTCAGAGATACCTTACACATTGCCTTGTACTTTAAACACTAGATCTAACGGACACTTGTTAGTTTTCGCTCCATATTATTTGTAATTACGTTAGATTATAATTAAATTCATATGATTGTAATGTACGTAATTAAAGAATATTACTAATATTATACTTACTTTACACTTATTATTTAAAGTAAATTTCTCATTTTATCGAAGCATACCCACTCCAGAGTAAACATTTTACTCAACTATACGTTACGTTATTTGTAATCACTAAAACATTAAAAACACATTTCAAATAACTAGAAAACTGCAATCATTATGTGATTATTGTAGTACAAAATTTTATTACATAATTAAAAATACGTCTTACTAATAAAAAAAATTGTTTAATAATTTACTATACACTGAGCGACCCAATTCTTTGAATCAAAGAAAATTTCTTTACCCTCATTCCGTTAAATATTTTCTTATGAGTAAAAAAATATAAGTTAATTGAAAACAATATTTTATTAAATTAAAATTTTCTTTTTTTAATTACGAATTTCTCATTTAGTTGTACGAAATGTTTTTTTGGATCGACTAAATTTGTTTCAATTAAAAGAAAATATTTAACGGAATGAGGGTAAAGAAATTTT